AAGTCTCACCTAAGGCAATTCTGAATTATTTATTGAGTTCTATTTGTGGTTAAAGTTTGATTCACCCGAAATTTGTGAATCACCCTATATATTTCTTGAAAATACTGAATCATTTTGTAGAAGTTTATGAACCTAAACTTTTTTTTATTTGAAAATATCTGCGGCAAATAATACTGTATATAAATACTAGTATTTAAAAAGTGAAACATAGCATTTACAAACATTGGAAGAAATGCCTTTCTCAGTGAGATACAGGGTGTAAATAAATAAGTGCGAAAATTCAGGGGGTGCTCCCTGTGGAAAAATAATGTAGGTCTTTCATATAAAAAAATCTTATTTGAACGTCCCTTGTAAATATACAACCGCTTAAAGAGGCTGTCAAAAAAGTAGTTTTTAATTTTTTTCTAAAGTATCAAAAAAGTGACAAAAATTCTCAGTAAACAATTTGTTGATTTTTCCCTACGGTTGTAAGGGGTTACAAAAAACACCCCTAAGACTTGTTTCATACGTATTTTTTTTTTTCACTTCAGGTAGCCCGACTCATTCTAAACAAGAAGTCTTTCGTAATTTTTTCGTAAAATTTACGATTTCTGAGTAAAAAATTTATTTAAAATCAATTACATGGCATATAATAGGGTAGAAATTTCGTCGAACTGTAATTTATTTAGTCACGTTGACATTTTGTAATGGCATTAGCAATACCGTAAATGAAATGCATTTCGGTCATTTCTACATTAGAGTACACCTTCATTTTGATGAATTACCACAAAAAAATTCTCAAATCGATCACAGTGCATCATCAATTAACAATAACTGTAACCTTATTAACAACAGTTAAGTTGCTATTACAAAATGTCAACGTGAGTCACCTATTGAGAATCACACCTGAATGAATTTTTTCGCATTTATTGATTTACACCCTGTAAAATGTGTTAATTAAATTTAAGAATTTACTCTATTCAACTGTGGGATTCTCTAGATTAATAACAACAACGATAAAATATTTGGGCAAATGAAAATTCAACATATTTATTTAATGTAAGAATAATTTCCACACTCTTTGGAAACATGTTTATAAAATCCCTTTTCGATAGTTCTTTACAAGGAGCGATTTGTTTCAGTTGTCTCTAAGAAGGCTTTTTGTACGCTAAATCAACACGTATGATTTCAACTGTCCACAAAATGATTACGTTCACATTGCGAATATTTAGTACAGCACTATCATTTTTATATTGATTTACGTCGAGCTTGTCAAAAATTTAGCTAACTGGTGATACTATATCCCTTATGCCCGTTTGCACCGTTTAGAATTTAAGCCAAGTTCAACTGAACTTGGTTTAATTTTAAAACTAGGTTTTATTAATCAGCTTTTGCACCACTTACTGCCGATTGTAGATTTATTTAAACTGGGTTTTAGGAATACTGTTTAGGGATTTTATTATGCTGCTAACTTATGTCCAGTTATGTTCGGAAAAAAATATGTCAAAGTCAACTTCTCAAACCAAAATTTTAATATGAGTACCATCAATAACACCTAACACTCTAGGAAATGATGCAATTTTATAGAACTCATGTTACACACTAACTATTTCTTCTAGGTTTGGCATTTTTATGTATCTCTGATAAAACCGAGCTATTGCAATTGATACTCGTACAATTATTCTGGACATTGTTGATATGTCCATCCCTGAAATGTCTGCAATAGCAAACAAATGACCAGCACAAGCATAAAACCAATTGTTGGATAGGAGATACACTATTATTCCCAGAAATACAAAATCATGTTAAGAATAAAAGATTTTTACAACTCCAAAATTCTGATTGCCAGTTGCATCATGTTCATGCCGACGTGTTCGTAAAACTTACATATCACTTGGATATTCCAACTCCTCTTCAATTAAAGTTAGCAGATGTAATGTGGTCTCTTTTGTCAAGCTAAATCTGCGGAAAAAGTCATATTGTCTAGATCAGGGATCCCCAAACTATTTTGGACAAGTGACCCCTTTTCCAAAATGAACTGTTACCTCAGACCTCCATGACCAAATTACCTACTTTTAAGATCAACCCCCTTATTCATAATGGTCCGCTAACTTAAAACAGCTGCTACAGAGTGTTATTTTTCATTCTGACTTAGGTCAATAGAAGAAGGCAGAGTGAGAATTAGCAATGCTTTAAGTTAGCAGACTATTATGAATAAGGGGGCCTATCTTTAGTTTTTTCCTATTGATACAAAATACCTAGGTACTAAGGTACCAACTGAAAAACTTTGCACTTTGTTAAGTGAGTAAAGTTGACTTCATTTTCTCATCAAAATTTAACAAAATAAAAAGACATACAATTCAGTAAATATCAAGTTTAATTTATAATGATTATTACAAATTAAGTACTTAAATAATCTTAAGTAGGTAGGAAATTATATTTAAGAAAGTATTAATTCGCAAAGAGAAAATAAAACATTCAGTGTGATGGATGAACCTGGTGACTATCTACCAATCTAGCTACATCCGGTTCAATATTGGTGAGTTGCAGCCTTAAATCTCCACATTCATTGATTTTCAAACGGTTTCTTTGTTTCGTCAAAATGTTTGTTACCACACTGAAGCTTTTTTCAACTAGGTATGATGATGGAAAAGCGATAAGGTATTTTTCAGCAATGTTCCACAATGTAGGATACTGTGTTTCAATGTTGCGTTGCAACCAGAACTTCTGATAGCCTTGGTTGAACTTCTGCTTAAGCTCTTCGTCTGTGCTGATGGTAATCAACTCTTCTTGCATTATCACATTGGCTTCTTCTATGGCTGTGGTATTGTACGGATTTATTATCCATTGAGGAATTTGTAAATTTAAAAGATCCTCAAACCTCTCCGTAAAATCCTTGTGTAATGCGTCCAAGTGGGTGACATATAATAAAATGTCATCATCTTGAAGCATTTCTGGTAATTTTGACAAATGCGGAAACTGCGAATATTCTTTTCTGCCTAAATTTTGTTTATAAAGGATTAGTTTACCCACGAAGGCCGATATTATTAATTTTGTTTTAATCAAATTAAGATCGTCACCCTGCAGTTGCAAATTAACTTTGTTGAACATTCCAAAGATATCAGTCAAGTAATAAATATCTGTTTTACAATTGTTCAGATTTTCTTTCAAATTCGGATCTTTTTCTTGTAAAAACTCCAACACAGACTCAAAAATGGCTGAAAATCTTTCTAAGCAAGAGCCTT